GAACAAGAAATCGCGGATCATGGTTTTCATCTCCGCTCGCCCCTTAAAGTGCGTTTCACGTGAGATTCATAAGTGAACGAATTCACAACTACCTCTCGGAAGAAAGTGGTACAGAACGGGCCGGCATTCAAGAAACATCAAGGTCGGGTCAGGTTCAATTTCTGATTTGAGGCCAAGAAAACGGCCGAGTCCCCCCTTCTTTGCCATAATATGTAAAGAATGGTTTGCATTTCTTTTCTGGGGACCCGTGGAGTATATATGGTACCCCCCACCATCATTTCCATCCATTGGGCACGACGTCCCCGGAAAATGTTGTGTCTATGATAACGCGGGGAGTTTCCTTAAGCGGAGTGCCTTGAAAGCGGAGTCGACTGTTATGGAAGCATGTAGGGCGAACGCAATATGGACAGGATTGTATCCGTGAAAGGACGGAAAAGAAGGCAAGAAGCTTACCGGTTTTTTGGAGGGCTTCTTCTTGCTGTTGCTGCCTTTGGTGGCTGTAGCACGTGAACCACCCGCTGGGGAAGTCGTGTTGGGGCGATCGAAATGCACCTGATGAAATGGCAGGCGTAGAGATTAAGTAGAGAGATGGAGGCAAAGATATCTTGACAGTAAAGGAGGGGACATGTTTTGAAATCCCGTCATGAGCACCTTGTACCGTACGAATATGATACCCCTCGGAGGGTGTGAGGTGATGCGGTCGGGATGAGGGGGTGGTGTTAGAAGAAGGCAAAGTGAGTGGACTACAAAGGTGAATATTTTGCAGGGTCTGAACAAAAGTCGTGTTGGGTGGGGATTGGTACGAGGGGAGTATACCGGAGACTAAACGAATATGTGATGATGATGTGGTTGGGGGGGAAACTTTGAATGGGAGAATTGACGTCCCATTGTTTTGGTGAATGAAGTGCATTTCATGATGAATGGCATGTGAAGGCAAGTCAGGTACACCGACGGGTTGGGGGAGCCCGAAGGAAGTGACCTCTTTGTTGGGGGTTGTTCTTCCCGACATGGTGCATGTCCTGCTTTGTTACGTGTGGGGTGCATTGTGGACGTACCGGGGCCATGCAGACGAACAACAGGGACACCGAGAAAACAACGTGCTTCGTACGCAGAGGAAAGGGCAACCGGAGAGCATGGCACTCGTGGTAGCGAAATAGCACGGGAGTAGATTGCGAGGCAGTGGCAGAAATGACGCGGGGCACAACCGGGAACTCACGTTTCTCTTGTTCGCTGTCGCGCTCCGTTCCCCCTTCGTCGAAGGCGTGGAAGTCGGTGAAGGTTGGTGAACGGATGCATCCTATCGATGGAGAGGAATGTGCGGGCATTTTTGGAAGGTGCGGCAATAGAAGTGAGTGCAGGGCCCGGTCATATTGCAGTTGCGTCAAGCGTAACGAACGATGGAAAGCGGGAAGTGAGGGATATTCCAAGAACGATGTCATGCTGCACGTGTCATAGTGGGTAGGGGGATGTGCGTGCACACAGGGGTCGATGCAGGAGGAAGGGAAACGTGGTGGACCATATATTGTTGTACGTGGACAATAATTTGATGTAGGGCAACAACATACGCATGGGCGGAGGTTGTGGTTATGATAAGAATAACCTGGGGACGAAAACAGGATAACAACATTGCAAAGAATGAACGAGTAAATATTGGGAGCGGAAGGCTGCTGTCCGTTGTGCGTGCATGTACGAAATATTCCTACCGGTGCTTGGTGTCGATTGAAGTCATTTAGGGCGACATGCAGTTGGAGGGGTATCGAAAGCTTGTACCCCACCACCAATGCGGCAGGGGTTGGGGCGGCACGTGATTCGTTATAATTCCACGACAAATTTATATGCAACGCATGTATGCAGATAGTTCACCATGCTTGCTTGTGTTTGGTCACCTCGTCCTCGGCGATTGTTTATCTCGTGCCTGTTGGGCTTTGCGAACATGTCGACGTCTTCATTCCGTCCCCATGCACCGCCTGTTGTTGCCACCCCTAACGTGTCGTCTTTGTTCTTCAGTAAGGAAATTATTGCCGGTGGAGATACCACGCGCACACTTTACCCACAAGATAGTGTGTTGTTTTTGTTGTTTGTTGTTGTTTTTCTTCACCTTAAACTCGTGTCAGTTGCTAATCCCAAAATCTAGCAAAGACTCGGCCCGTGGTCACAAAAATGCTAAAGCCATCAGAAGATCTAAAGAACACGCACACTATTTGCAAGACAAGGGTACACAAGCCCAAGGAGGTACACCTACAATCCCTGCAGCACGTTTGCGTGCTCACAACTGAACTACACGCCCACACACTACAATTCGACTACAGCAGGCGGCATCACCCCAAAATGAATGTTTGTCGACTACAGCGTACTGCTGTCTGAAGTGCTGTCTGCACAAATATCACCATGGTGTATGGTGCACAACAAGCTCGGGGCATGCAGCTGCTGTCTGAAGTGCTGTCAGAATGGATCCGTGGACATACAATGAAGAAGAACAACCAACCAAAGCCATCATCATTGCACTTGACAATCGCCCGAATGTGTGGAACCTTCCAATGCATGCACCCCATGCCATTCGACTCTATCCTCTAATGTGAACCGCGCTGAACCACCACCGGTCGAGACGACCCGCACTTTATGAACCGTATTTTTCACACTCCAACAGATCGATCCCACAACCTACCTGCTGTAATGTAGAGCCAGTTTTTCAACGTCATGACGCACGTGACTTCGAGGTAAGAGGTAAATTATTTCCCTTTTCGCGTTCCATCCTTCCCAAAGATCCACTTACTTTCCTTTGGTCATGACATTTAGCTCCAGTCTCCACATATCCACACCACCAACCTCCCTTTCCCGTATCTTCCTCGAATGTTCAAAGAATAGTCCACAATTTTTTGTCGGGATTCTTACCTCTTCATATCTGGTGGGCTGGTGCATATTTTGAAATCCGTCGACTCCTGCCTCCGTTCCCCCCGACCCACCTCCCCACAACAACACAACGACATTCTTCCCGACGTCCCTCCCACAAGTCTCCCCGACACCCGTCCACGACATCGACATGGCTCCTACGACGCGAGGCAAGCGCACTCCCAGCGCCAATGCAAAAGTACTCTCGCCGTTTCCTCTCAACGTTTTTACACAATACCGGCGCCCGCCGAACCATATGTGCGGCTTGCCTTCGCACGACCACGTAGACGCCCATGATCGCGCCTTCCCCCAGGACACGGCACAAACACGACTCATACGTTGACCACGTCCATACCTTCTACACCCACCTTCCCTCGCCTCTTCTTGCGAAGCGGTCACCGCTAATCGATTTTGTGAAAACCTCTTCCAACGAAAGTGTCTACTTCGCACCCCTACTCAAGAACACCCGTCAACGTTTTCTCACCCTGCCTCCGTCCCTTCTTCCCTTCTTCGTTCACGCCTCGACGTCCCGTTACACTTTCATAGGCCGCCTTCGCCACCGCCAGCACGGGAGCGACTCCAACCAAGAACACACCCTCCCCCAGGAAGGGGAAGGGCAAGGTCCGCGATCCTCATGTGAGTACGTTCAGCACGTAGATACCGTCCAAAAAGCAACTTACGGCGTTCCGCAAGATTTTGTTTTTTTCCAAATCTTTCCTTTGTCGCGCGCATGCGTGTGTAGTCCTCCGTTTTTCCAGCAGCCTCAACCTTGCCCATGGCGCGTCCGCGAACCTCGACCACCATGACATTTCTCGGCCCCCGTCTCCAACTGAACATTGCTAGCTCTAATCGATCTGCTCGTCCTGTGCTTCCCATGCGACAACAACAGCGAACCTCGAACGGGTATGATGTTCTATGACTCGGTCGCATTCTTCATCCCTGACTCCGGAGATACTGCCATGTGCACCATCGCCCCGTCATCCCGACAACAAAACACATGAACGACGTGCGTGCCATGCCTACAAATCCAACCATCATCCAACTTTTTACTACTCCTCATGCCAGCAGCTTCCGGCGTTCACCACCGCATGGTACCATGAAAACACCGTGCGCACGCCACCTGCCCTACGTCGTCTTGGGCGATCAGTACCGATGTACGCATGTCGCGCCTGCAGGGATCAGGTGTACGTGTGTTCCCCAAATACCACACCTGTCGCCCGACATCCATTTCCAAAACGTGTTAACCTTTCTGACCGTCGAACGTCGGAATCTACCATTGCTGCAAGAAGCTCTATGACCGACCGCGCACATGTATTCGTAGGATGAAGTGTGTACCAGCATCCTGTCGTGGTGTTCACAAGATCAACATGGACCTCTATCGGTTCAAAAACCCTTCACAACTTCTCAACTTCAACAATCGTCAGCCAGCTGCTCCGAATATCTTTGTAGAGTCGAAAACGTACAATAATCTATATTACATTCGTAATACCGCTACAATACCATTCATTATTGAACTCAGGCCAGGTAAAAGACAATAATAGCTGCTGATCGGTATTGGTGACGTGGTTGGGACTTTCCGTATTCCTTATGGGCACAGAACCTGCTATACCTGCACCGCACACCTCGACGATCGGATACATAATGTTGAAAGATCCACTCTGTCTACGGTACACGGAACGAATCATACATCCGTGATCTCGGAGATTCAAGTCAGATATTCGAACACGTGCGCGAAGTGTGTGTGTCATCGCACCTCTTAGGGATGGTGAATACAGCGGTAATCCTCGGGCACACATTGGCATGAGACGGCCGTTCTGCTCGTTCTGTGTGCCAAACGCGTTTCTCCTCGTTGACTCTCTGTTGATGGTATGGGAAACAGGTGACGGCGTAGGTCAAAGTACATGTGAATGCGGAAGATTTGTGATGTATGTGTATCGCGGATCTGTAGATGATACATGGGGAAATTGAAGGGGGAGAGTCGGTGGTCGAGACAGAGGGGTGATGCAATCGACATTCCGTGTGTGTGTATGGAAGCATGCTTGCAATCGTAATCCGGCGCCTGATGTTGTATTTCGCGTTTGCTGAATGCAGGTGGCGTGGCGGTCTCACGTATGAACACTGAACCGTTGCACGTGCTGGGGACGTGGGTCGAAGTTCCCATGACGGTCGTGGAAGGTTGCAGACTGGCGGAAGAAGAGGCTATGAACGATTCGAGAGAAATCGGGTGAGAAATGTCTGCATGTGTATGCATACGCGTAGGCATAGGTGTTGTGTTGAACGTACAGAAGAGGAGTAGAAGCGTTGATGACGCGGTTGGTTCATTTCGATCCTTTTTAGTTATGGGAGGATTATATGTGGACGGGCATGTCCATTGTTGGGCTTTATTTTAATTGTGGTCGATGCGGCGATGGCGATGAACGGCGTTCAGGTAAATACGTTTAGACGCATGGCAGACCCGTTGTCGCCATGGTGCATTCCGGCATTGTATTACGGTGGTACTGCATCGCGTGTAAGAGTCTTGTGTCACTCGTCATGGGTGTGTAATGTTTGTGTCACAATCGATGGACACTTATTATTCATATTATTGAACTTGTCCCATTTGCAGTGGTTCGATACCGAAAAACGTAAAAAAGGCGGTAGAACCACGTTGATATGCGCACAGCAACATATGCATACCATAGTTGTATCCCTCCGCCAGCACTCGTACGACGTGGCGGTAGATGTATATTCGACGCATGGTGTGTTTTGTCGACGTTCTCCGTCATGGCAGGGAAGTGATCGGCTCGATGGCTTCCTTCGAGGGGGAGTTGGAGGCGGCAACGACGCCATTGCATAATGTGGTAAATGCAAACGTTGCCGCAAGGCTAATCATGGACGGAATGAAGCCGACGTCGAGGGATGGTACAGGGGACCATCCGTTACATCTTGTGGAGGATCCCGTAGTCGCGGTGATGTTCATTGCTGGTGGTGGTAATGTAAACGCGAAGAACGGAATGGGTTTGAAACCCCTTCACATGGCATCAAATGTCAGTGTCGCGTCTGTATTGGTCGCTAATGGAGCGTTCCTTTTTCCCGCACAAATACTGGACGGAGTAGTATCTATTGGGCGAGGAACGATTCAATTGCGCGGGTATTGCTGGCACGTGGTGTGGACGCGAATGATCGAAGATATGGGGTTGGGGACACACCTTTGATGCACGCTCTCACATTGGAAATGTGTAAGGTGCTGATTGAAGGTGGTGCAGTGGTTGATGCGGTCGATGCACAGGGGAGGACAGCGTTGTTGAAAATGTGTGAAATATTGGGGAAGGCACACAAACGTGACAAAGACAGATATGTACAAACTATTGAGTATTTGGCAAGAGAGGGCGCGTCTTTCGAGATTATGTATACTGCAGGTGATGGCGTTCAAGGGTTGTCAGGGGAACAGTTTGAGCCAGTCGTGCTGCCCATTTGGAAGAGGACCATGGTGGGAAAAATGCAGAAGGTAATCGAAAAGCAGGGTCTCAGTCACAATGGCGATGGATGGACATGTCCGTGACGGTATAATGGCGTATGTGTAAAGGGCCCAGTGGGCACAGGTGATCTAAATAAGAGCATGTCGATACGGTGCAGGTGATTGTTTCGTATTTGACGATATACGAATCGGTCTTTCGCACGAACCCGAATGATGGTAACGATGTTGTGTACGGTACAATTCGTTGTCATTAGGCGAATGATGGTAAAGATGTTGTCGGCGGTACAATACGTTGTCGTTAAGAGGTTGAACATGGGAAATGCGTTCGGTGTGTCGGAGGTGGCGCAATGGTTGTCGAATTCAACGGTATCCACAACGGGATATGAAAGTGGGAGGGGTACGATACAATTGCGTAAATGGCATTGTTCCGACGACAAGAACGAGCACGGTGGGAATCGCTTTTTTTCTTTCTTAACTGTTGTTTTTGTCGTCACCGCCGTTGACCTGAAACCGAAAGTGTTCTGGGGTCGGTCGAACACCGCGGATGTTGATTCTGGTCGAACGTCACGGTTCCCCTATGGTGGGATGACTGGACCTCCGAAACGGGATCATTCCTGTCGAGATAATTATATTTGCTGGAAAGTCTATGCCGAAGGGTTGTCTCCGTCGGTTAACAATACCCGGAAACTACGGTGTGCGCTTTGGGGAAGGCATGTATCATGGTGAGTATGATCATGTCGGCGGGCTTGTGTACACGAAAAACGGCGACATATGAAGCCCGTGTAAGAAGGGGTGACAGGGCGCTATGAAGTCGACGTTATTATGGCCTCCTCTCCATACGTCGTAATTTCGGAACTGGTCGACCATTGAGGTCGACTTACGTTGTAATAAAATTTGGTCACGCATGAAAAGGGAGTACCGCTATGAAGGAAATATAAAAAAAACGTTGAGGACAACATCGCAAAATTCAACAGATGACGCAATGAATGGGAGGAGAAAGGAACGGGGGTCTTTACCGACGCTGGTACAATAGAATGAATTTCTAAAAAAAAGGCAGAAAAAACGTGGAAAGAAACAAGAAACGATCGTAGGCGGGTCCCCCCAATTCTCCATCGGGCCTACGAAAAACGAAAAATGTACGTACCGGACACCGTCCACAGGGCCTACGAAATACATACCGGATACGACAGTAAACGAATGGATCACCTACGCCGACAATACGGACATGGGAAGGTGGTCAAACCTAGTCCGCGTCGCGTACCAGCAATTGAAAACAACGTCGTGCACGCCGTGAAGCGCTGTAAAGGGGAGGACTACGCCAAAAAGGGGTGTTCCCTTTTGAAGAAGAAATTATAGGAACTCCAGGAAATACGGCAGGTGGGGTAATTGGATCTGAAACGAACGGGAGTCATTACCGACGCTGGCATAAAAGAAATGAAAAAAAAAAAGAGAGAAAGAGCGTGAAAACAAGAAACAAACGACTGTAGCCAGGTCCCCCCAAGTCTTCAGTGGACGTACTAAAAAGGAAAAATGTACCCCACTGGAGAGTAAACGATTGAAATATCGACGACCACAGCAACCACATGGCAAGGTGCCCCTCCCTGGCAAGTGTAAGACGGGCGGCGCCAAGAAGCGGAAGACGGGCAAGAGTTAGTTTTTTTTTGTTTGCCCTTTAGCCTAAGCCTAGCGATATCGTCGGCATAGTCGTTGTGACTTGGAGAATTGTAGCGGCATGTTCGTGTTGTAGGCTGGCCTCCTCTAGACTCGGCGCCAATCAACGGCGCGGGAGGGGGGCGGAAGGAAACAGCGAGGGAAGAGAGCAAACGAGAAGAGGCCGACCGTGTCGCACGGCATGTTGCGGATTGAAGCTGACTAGTATTTTTCTTTTGTTATTTTCTCCCCCCCCCCCCCCCCCCTTGCCGTCCCGTTTAAACTGGCTTCGTGGATATTCTGGCCCCTGGGCGAGTTGGTGTTCTCGTCTTTTATTTTATTTTTATTTTTATTAATGTTTTTTTTTACACTTTTATTTTCTTTGATTTTTCCTCACATACATAACGTGTAGAGGGGAGCGGAGGGCTAAAAAACATTTTTGCTTCTGATTCTATTTTGCTGTTGTATTTTACCGCTCTGCTGACCCTTGGGGTCCATTTCATTTTGGTATATATTTTCCAGGTATGTTAACCTGTGACCACGGAAATTGACCGAGTCAAGTGTTGGATTAGTACGGAGAGATTCAGACCGAAAGAGGTCCTGGATAGAGAGAACGGGATGTTTTTTTTTATGTGAAGAAAATAACAACAACAACAACAACAACAACAACATTCGTGTCCACTTGGAGGTTTTTGGTAGCAGCGTGTGTGTGATGCGCATTCGCGATGAGAGTATCACGTGAGGCTTAGGAGATCTAAGGGCTCAGTGGTTGGGCTTTCGTAGTGATGTCTTGTGCAGGTGTGTGGGGAACAGGTGCTACATCTTCGATTGTGCCCAAATCGTTGCGAGCTTGCTTTTATGCGCAACAGCAGGGGGGCGGGCTGTTTGCATATTTTTGTTTTTCTATTTGATTCTTCACCAACGGCAGAAACTTGTCCAACGGTAGAAATACGGATGTCGTGTAGGCGAGTGCGCTCTCTATCGTTTAGTGGATGTTGGATAATTTATTTGGAGACAGGATACGACGTGTCGTAGTGACTGTACTCGTGGTTGGTGCCCTCGTGCTTCCGAATGGTGATTTCGGCTGGCTGGTCGGTTGTGGGGATTGTATTTTTTCCGCTTGATTTCGGCTAACTTTCTTGTCATGTGTGGATTGTTTTTTTTCGAGGGAACGTAACATGTCGTATCGTGCGCGATGATGATCAAGCGACGTTCAGAATGGAGATGCCTGAAGTCGTTAGTCGGCTATCGTAGCGATGTGATACTATCGTGTTTCATGCACTTATATTTGGAGGTTTGTGTTACTTGTATTTTGGGACATTGAAAGAACACCGTGTGTCATGCGATCTGCGGTTAAAGTCAGTGAGGCTCAGAATGGAGGTGCACGAGATCATTGACTGGCTGTCGTAGATTGTGTGTTATCATTATGTTCACAAGGAAGGGCGGTTTCTTCTGTGTTGGCGTACTGCATACAAGTATCATATGCCATACCCCTTGTAGCAGTACGATCTTTTCATGTTTTGCGTTGACAAGGTGTTGAATTGCCTTAGGATAACGGCAGATGTCTGCACTATATATTGTCTGTTCCCGTTTTCTAGTGGCTTTATTTAAATCCCACGGAGCGGGGGGGGCGATGGAATGAGAATTATTGATGTAAATGCAACGACAGTTGCAAGCGTCATTTATGTGTTGGGTTTTTGGACGTTATTCTGTCTTTGCAGTCCTGGGTATTTCTGGATGTTGTATTGAAGGAAGGATTTGGTATGTGCTGATTAGTAAATGGTTGGGGCCTACGTGCTTTCCGAATAATGATTACGTGCTGACCAAGATTTTGAAAGGTACGGTGTTGTTTGAGGTTGTTGATTCTGATTTGATGACGCGTTTCCGGTATTGTCCGTTGTTCTGCAAGACGCAACGCTGATGTAATGATGAATCTTGTTGGTTATTTTTCCAAGAATATTTCTGGATTTTTTTACGGATTGAGTTCTCTCAAGGGGGTAAGGTAAGTAGGGTCTTGACGTATGAGGTATATCTTTAATGGTATATTTTTGTATGTTTCAAGTTGCCGTTCCTGGAACGGTACATGCATGTAATTCGCTTGGACGACAGTACCTTTATCCAAGCAGGGGGCTGTTTGTGGTACTTGGGTAAAGATACTGGTCTGAGATGGATTTCGGGGATACGCAGTTGGGGTTGTGGTTTGACCATCTGGTATTGCGAGGACCTTTTCACCCTCGCAGAGACCACAACCTAATAACACAAGAGCAAAAACAACTTCAAGGGGCGCCTTCGGAGATTGTCGGCAGCGAGCTAAGCATTAGCCCTAGCGCCAGCACACAAGCAAAACTTTCATCAAAGGACACACAGTCAACCCTATGTTCATATGACGTCACTTGCGTAAAGGTGGAGAAAGTCACGCACGTGATATGTACCGTGCACTGATCATGCACTTTAATGAAAGTGACGAAATCGTTCGTCACTTGTCTTCACTTTCGTAAAAGTGACGAAAGTCACGCACGTGATATGTACCGTGCACTGATCATGCACTTTAATGAAAGTGAAGAAATCGTTCGTCACTTGTCTTCACTTTCGTACATGTGACGAAAGTCACGCACGTGATAGTATCGTGGACTAGTTCTGCACTCTTATGAAAGTGACGTGCAAGTCACTTTCATAAAAGTATCATTCACTTTCACCGTGAAATGACTCTCGTAATAGTGATTTGACTGTTGTAGGAGTGTCTGTGAAAGTGAGTGTGGCTTTCACTTTCATTGTGGGAGGGAGTGACGTTTATAACAGTCAGTATCACTTTTGTGAGAGTGACTATCACTTATATACAAGTGACGTCACTCTTATGAAAGTGTCTATCGCTATTACAAGAGTGCTCCTCACTATCATTAGAGTGCTTCTCACCGTTGTAAGAGTGACAGTTCACTATTATAACAGTGAATCCATTTTCACGATAATGTGGGATGCCCGGGGGGGAACAAGTCAACAAATCCCTCCGCGCAGGGAAATCTTGCCTTCCTCACTTATGTACCGTAGAATATCCACTGTTGTTTGAGGTATACACATGTATGTATGCATTCCGTATCCGTTCCGTATATTGTTGCTGTTCCTTGCATGCACCATGCATTGGAAACGCCATGCCCGTTAGTCGGCGCTCTCTTTTATGTGTGACGACGTGATATATTCTTAGTGTACTGAAGCCGCTATGCACACTAGACTACATCAAGTACGTAAATACGTCCATCATCGCCGCGCTGCAAGTACGATGCAAAAGTAGACGGAGCGCAAGCAGTAAGGTTGTCGCCGACAGGTTAAACCCGTTGGAACCTCCAGTTGCGGTCATGAGCGTTCGGTTGTGTCTCGCCACACGAAACAAGTAGTTCATGACGGATTGTAGCCAGCCGCAGCCAAGGCATGGCTCCCTGCTGTCCCCGATTTTTGGTGTCTCGTATATTCCAGGAACCCTCTTTCGATACGCCGATTTCGTTACCCCCCGGGACACGCGGGGAATACCGTGGAAATCGTGTGGATCAAATTCCAGTGCCGTTCTGCTCCGCGTGTTTACTCCTCTTCGTCGACCGGCGCCCGTTGTTGAAATCCGTTTATCCTCTTGGTCTGACGAGACTTTCCTTGCTGCCCCTCCGGGTTTCCGGGTTCCTCTTTGGCCCCCGATCGATGCTGAAGAGGTTGCCTTCTACCGTCCTTTTTCGGCCTCCCCTTCTTGGGCGCCTCTCCAGGATTTTGGACGCCTGTGCCTCCCGCGGACGAGTTGAGAAGATACCGCAGAAAGTCCCCAACCTTGTCCTGGACGGACAGCGCTTGATCCAGGGGCACGGACCTCATTATATCTCCTACAAGCTCCTTGCTCTTCGCCATCAGATGGGCGTAGACTCGACGCTTGTCGGAAGCGCTTCTATCCTGCGCGGCGCGCCCCGGTTCAGCAGGATGTATGCCATCCACCGCCTCATCGCATGTCGGTCCCCAGTAGTTCTTGTCGCTGCGTTCGTCATGGCCGTCCCACCCTACGCCGTGGCCTGACGACGACAGCACCGATGAGATGCTCCACGGCGAATCTTTGCCATCTTCTCTTCGACGCCAACGGTTGTGGACACATGCGCCGTTGAAGGTATGGGTGAAGGACATCTCGTCGCTTTCGCCAGTTCTCCCCATGAGGTTGACAAGCACCGCAATAGCTGTAAACAGGAACATAGGTGGAAGGTGTCAGGTCCGAACACCACGAGGTGGCCAGGTCTGTTCGCCGTCCACTTGTATCGAACGGCCACGACCAGTTGGATAGGTACATCCGCGATTAAATCCCAAGAAGGCTGACAGCGACGTACGCGCCCACATAGTGTTGTCCACCGCAGCTTCGCCGGCTAACTGGTCTCCCTCGAGATCGGTATCAGGTGGTGCGACCTGAAGAATGTTGAGCTTGAGGCGCAATGAGCGAATCTTGGCGAGGTTGTGCTCATGGAGAGGCAGCGGGTCCCCATTCTCGTCCTCACGACCTGAATTCACCAACTCGGCGTCATACGACTGGGCTTCGGCAACCTTCGCTCTGACCTCCTGCGACAGAATGAGGTTCGACAGTACGAAGATGTGTTGGATGGGGTTTCAGTTCGACTGGATGGTGTCTGCTTGTGCTTAAGCTTGGTAAACCACGGACACACCATCGCACGAATTCAACAGCGGCACTTGCTGGCAGTACTGGCTAGCACCACAGGCTAGGAGCTCCTGCTTCACGGGTCTGAAGAAATTCTCCACGTGGATATCCCGGAAGGCCACGCCAGCGGCAAGGGGGGGTGTCGCTAACCTGCATGCATGGCATGAAACGCAGTCTTACATAATGTTTAAAGGAGGGAGAAATCCGCACACGATGTCGATCCGCCACCAGTGTGTGTAGCTGTAGCTGCAGGTAGAGACAAATTCGCGTGTTGTGGAGCACATCGGAATACCGCATAAATCGAAGCACGCGGATACCACCTGCTGCCATGGGTGACGAAAACAACAGACAAACTCACCTCGCAGTCGCTATGGCAATCATCTTGCTGAGACGTTGCAGGCGATCCCAAAGAGCGCACAGAGATAGCTTCTTGCCGACGCCAGAGTGTTTCGCCACCCCGAATAATCCTTCCGTGCGCTGAGTAGCAACCATGCCTAGCATGAGGACAGTGGGCCGGCAGCAGAACGCCCACTTGGTCTTGTTCCTACGACGGTTTACGACGCGGGTACCAGAGTGAATTAGTGAATATCGAGTGTAAAGACGCGGCATCGATGGCTCAAGCCAGGGCATAATGACAGCATTACGGCGCTTCCTCGAAATGTACGGAGGGAAGTTACTCACTTGATCAAGTCCGCTATGTATCCTTCGCACTTCTTGGCGGCCAGAAGTTGCTCCAACCGGGCCACTTGGTCGCAAACACCTGCCACCGGAGACAGTGGTAGACACAAGACACGCCAAAGGTTATGTTTCCGCTCGTTGTGGCGGGGCGAACGGGTGGGATAGACCAATGCATTCTCGCGGGGCCGTCATGTGGCGGCAACCTACGAGTGAATGCCATCGTACCTCCGGGGTAGCTGCATACGCTGCGTTTCTGAAGCAACGCATCATGTCGGTCTTGTCGTCATTGTTAGCAAATGATGACGAGCAGTTCTTGAGGACGTTCTTGAAGACATGCCACAAGCAGTGCAAATGCAGCGTCCCTGGCCAGCAAGAGGCTATTGCAGCCGTCATTGATCAGCGTCGCTCAAGATCACCTGTGGAAAAGGGAAAAAGTGATATGTCAACGGATGGGATAGGCCATGGACGGCGCGGTTATGTCGACAGCCACTAGATGCGTCTGCAGTACATGCCTCAACAAATATAGACGTCTATTTGTTCCTATCGCGAAGCGACTTTTTATTGTACATCATCCTGACCTCGTTCTACATGGACGCCATGAATGAGTGTTGTGAACATCGTAAGAGGGTCACCTTCGGCTTCCGCCCACCGGTAGCGGCCTCATATCTGTTCAGGATCCATTCGAACGTCTCCGTACACTCAGACCGCAGAAAGCCCTGCCCAAAATGCAGCTGCGATTCTCGTCGCCGACGCCCACGACGAACAGAAGAGGGCACCGGTACCTACAGACAAACAATCAGCCCGAGTTACATGACGCATTGATACTTGTCCTTGCAGCACCAAATACCCCCACCATAAACGACGAGCGTGGATTTAAAAAGGGCAACCATGAGCAGCTTAGCGTATCGAACGGTCCCACATTTGCTGTGGAGACATGCAACCTGTCGAAGGGGGTATTGTGTGCACCTGTTCGTGAACACCGTTGTATCCAGCTGTATGCAGCCCCCAAATCTTGCAATATGTTCTTGCTGTTGGACGATAGCCCAAAACACATCCACCACTCGTCCCTGGGCATCCAGCGTGTGATCGCAGTACATGCCAGGTTCGCTTATCAGAGTCGCGAGGAAGTTGGTTGCGTCCTCGGGTTTCGCGTTCAACCCGTCGTTTACCTTCTGCATTTCGTTGTACACCTTTAGCACGAAAACGGCGTTACGAAACGAAATGCAAGGGAACGAGAGGGTAAATTCCTCCCGCCACCTAACACAATGACGGGGAAGAACTGCAAGAAGACTTGCCTGCCTCAACGGTGCCATTTTATGAGAAACGCCGAGAATGCAACAACTCCGCTATTTCACTGCTATTTCCCGCGAATTGACGTCTATACTGAACGTTGTTGGTCGTTGGACTCCCAACTGTAGCCACCCACTTTTCGTCTTCCGTGTTTGCACAAGAGGAGACCGTCCTGGTCCAGTTCCAGCAGTTTGATATTTTGCTGTGCTGATACGCCCCCCACAGTCCATGTCCGGACATCGTCTATCCTCTCGTCGACAGTATTTGGCGACAGGATGTGCTTGGCTGCACTTGACACCGTTCCCCGTGGGTCGTGGTTGTGTTGGCAGCGAGACTGGAGGGGTCGACAAAAGGACGGAGCCACTCAGTTCCAGACTCAGTACTACCAGATGTCTCAAGCATGTCAGAATCAGTACGATAAGATGTCCCAAGCATGTAGACTGCACGTACATCTCGAGTAGTTCAAAACAACAGCACGAGTAGATGCCGATACTATGTGCGTGGATGTTGGTCAAGATGCCGTAATAGAAGGAAGGCCCAAACTCGCAGGGGATATGGATGGGTTACTCCCCCGCAGAGGCCAATTGATGGTGATCTTAAAAGGGCACCCCACCTATTCCGTGCCAGAGTAAAAAGCGGAGACGGCGGGGGGTAAAGAGTGAAACGGTCATCAACCCCAAGGCAAATGCACAACCCAGAACACGATGCGATACCAGTACTTCGCACCAGGTGCGCGGTCAGCAGGTTTTACGTCGTCGAGCATGTCGAGCAACTGGAGGTCAGGCTGCCATTATGATAGTTCAACACAGCTCACCTTCTGCGACGTTCTCTTCCTGGGGTTGGCCTCTTGTTTTGTCGGATCTTTCTTGCGTACGCTTCCCGAATGCGCACAACTGACTTCACAGAGATTGTGTCGCGATTTGTCGGCCGTCTGCATCAAGAGACAAACAAAACGAGCGCCCTTTATTTGCTACGGGCCGGTGCGAGGTTATCGTGCGGATACATCTATGTTGGGCACGAAGGGAGACCAGAAATACCAATGCGCAAGGGTGCACAGAGCTCTCACCTATTTTTTTCGGTTAATACAGAGAGTTTGGTGCCCCTCAGCCCCGAGGTCTTCGAGTAGTGTGTCGAACACAGCATCCCAAGTCTCTTGAGGAGAACCGAGCACGTCAAAGGAACGGCCCACTTTGGCAATTCTTCCCGCTTCCCCCCGGCCCACTCGATTCGCGCCGCCTCCCTTTTTCGCGTCCTAAATCGCGGCGACAAAGACAGGGAGGGGGTAAACGGACTGTCGATGGTGACAATTGCTCCAACGACTTATTAATTCCAACACAGGCCATCTACCCCAGCCCTGCTTAAGACTTCTTCCCGCCTACCTTTCATCGCCGTCTGTTGCGCTTCCGTTGTTTTGCCCGCCTTTCTCTCATCTCCTGCGAGGCGTCACTGTTGTCACTGTCCGAACCATCCCCACTTCCTTCGCTGTACTCCCTCCCGGAGTCATTGCCCCCATCTGAACCGCTGTCGCTTCCCTCATCATCACTCTTTCCCCTGGATCGCCCTCCGGCTCCGGCTTTAGAACCCTGCCTACCCTTATTATCCGATTGAATCTCCGCGTCTGTACTGCTGTCGCTTTCCTCATCATCACCCGTGTCCTTGTATCGCCCTCCGACTCCGGCTTTGGATCGCTGCCCACCCTTCTTGTCCGATCCCATCTCGACATCTGTGCTGCTGTCGCTTTCCTCATCATCACTATTTCCCTTCTTTTTGCCTTTATCTCCGTTTTTGCGACTCTGACCCCCTTCTTTCTTCACGGATACCATCCCCCTTGTCCCGCATAGCTTGTCGTCTTGTCCATTTTTTCTACTCCTGTCGACACCCTCTCCTGTACACGTACCGCCATTGTTTGTTGCCACGGGTATCTGGGTATCTTCCTCCTCCTTCGAACTGTTCTCAGGTGAGACCAATTCATTGTCGGATCTCCTTCTCTCTCCTGCAGGTGACCCTTTCCCCGATGCAACATGCGTTCGGGCATACTTGACGTCTACCTCCACATACCGCGCCACCATCGTAACGATGCTCTCGGCGTCGTCCATTAGCACGTCGTGCGACTCAACTTCTTTTTGGTCGACACCCATGTTAACCTTCATCACAGTTCCGTACCCTGGCTGCTTCACATTCCAACGACCATTGTGAAGGCGATTGCCGAGTACGAAGTCCAAGCACCCCTGCACGAACGCATGGGAAGCGCGAAAGGTACACTTTATAGCAACGGGTGTGGGTAGCAACGGGTGTGGGTTCTTTCGACAAGTACTGGTGGCGAAACGCGACAAGGCTGTAGCTACTCGAGCCGTCTTCAGAATCAAGGCGATTTCGTTTTCGTTCCGGTTATGCTGGTCCCCATACCACCGTCTGTGCTACGTCTGTTGGACATGATAAATCATGGCTCATCAAAGAAACCCGCATTATAACCTACGCATGCCTTTCCTTCTCTTCTTGAAGCCGCGCTTTCTTCGACATTTTATGTGCCCTCCGTCGCAGCTTGGTAACGCCCTGTCTCCATTCATATCCTTGCCCACCTTGGGGGCGGTGCTGCCGTCAAACCCGTTGCCCTGCTTTCCCTCCGCCTCCTGCCCGTTCGCGGAATTGACACCCGCCGTGCCATCCCCTTTGCCACCACTCTTTCCTCCGTCCCCACCCTTTTTCTTCCCTCCCCTTCCCTTGCCCTGCTTTCCCTCCGCCTTGCGCCCGTTCGCGGGATCGACGCGCGCCTTCTTATCCTCTTTGCCACCACTCTTTCCTCCGTCCCCACCCTTTTTCATCCCTCCCCTTCCCTCGCCCTGCGGACCCTCTGCCTCCTTCCCGTTCGCGGAATCGACACCCGCCTTGGCATCCCCTTTACCTCCAGTCTTTCCTCCGTCCCCGCCCTTTTTCTTCCCTCCCCTTCCCTGGTCTTGTTTTCCTTCCGACTCTTGTCCGTTCGCGGGCTTCGTTTCCTTGCTCGCGCTGTCCTCGCCTCCGTCCACGTTACTGGTGCTCCCGTTTTTTCGTTGCTCGTCACGGGACCTGGCCTCCTCGGCAGCGGCGGCCGCTTTCCGCTGTGCTTCTTCTCTCGCCTCATTCTGATGTACACGACAAGACATTGGTCGCACAAGAGCACGATATACTTGGAGCTTCAATCACTCAACGAGCCTGGGTTGACAAGGTCTAAGAGTTTGCTAGTCTTAGTGGTTTGATCGTGGCTTCTAGACGGTCGACGTTTTGAAGCAGATGCAGATACGCCGATATGCGTCACGAGGATGCGTGCTGCGCGCACCAAGTAATGCGCATACTTGCGAAAACGAAAATGTTGCGAAACCGCTCTGCAAGTGTTGGGGAGGTCTACTTCAGATTTTATTCACCACACCGCATTTCGACGTGCTCACCACGCGGATATCGAACGCCTCCTCGTTTGCTTCTGCGGCATGCTCCGCACACTCAAACGGTCTCTGTCAACACACGCATATACATCGGATGACGATGAGGTGAGGCGAGGGCAAAGATGTCACAATGTCCAACGCACCAGAACACGCGTCTGGGGTTCCCTGCGAACGCTTGGGGTGGGGCAACGTAACGAGGGTTGTGATGAGCTTCTCTTACTCAAATATTCGAACGTACTAGACGCTAACGGAGAGTCCCCCAATGGCCCGACCAGCAACCAGTGTACCCTCGCACATTAACCGGAATTCTTGCAACCACTTACCACATGATAGCCCATGATGCGTTTCAAGTCAGCATCGCACCTCTCGAAGTGGGATTCAGCCTGTCGGTTCGCATGGAACACAGGCAAAGCAAATCGGTGGACGTCAACCACGTTACGTCTCGGCACATATATCGTTTTGAATCGTACGGAATATCATCGTGTACGGGGTCCTACAGCTCAGGGAGGTAGGGAGGTGGTCAAATATGCGTGGCCCCAACGAAGGTAAAACCTCATCACTAACCCTATTTACAAGCTCCGAACCCTTACCCTTGTATGGGCGTCCGTCAGCCTGCGGTGGACGTCCTCCTCCTCGTCCGCCGTCAATTCGTTCAGTTCTGGGCCAAGCATAGCGTCGTGTACCTGCCGCTTTGAGGCCGTGACCGCCTCCTTGGCTTTACTCTTCAACGTCCTGAATTTCGTTAAAACGCGGTCCTTCGCGACGATGGCGGTGTCACTAGACACGGTAAAAAAGTGGTTTAGCTCGGGAAGCTGGTTTTCCACGTACTCGAGGTATCCAGTCGCATTGTCGAAGGGCGGGAGATAACTGGAGCTGTAACCCATGGTCATGGCCGCGTGGAGCGTGGGGTGGCGCCCCGTTTCCCACGCCGGCAGAAAAAGCGTGTGCTTCCAAGGTCCTCCCTGAGCATTGTTGAGGGTGTTGACTGCAACAGACCGAGCGCGAGTGGGGACGGCCACAAAATTCATTCCGAAAACGACATCACGGAATTGTCGTTAGCGTGTCCCCCACCCGTTTTCCTTCGTTTTCCTTTCCCTTTCGGGTATTGCGCAGCTCATCCAATTCGTACGTGAAAACTGGGCGGGTCATCGGCAGGCACCCAACGCACGGACAACGATCCTACTGTACTACGATCATGTTTATACTGCCTGAGCTGACCAGTGTTGCTGCGTGCTGCGGGGAAGCGATGAGCTGTTGCCTCGGATGGACTTACTTCGATACCAAACCGGTGAAAATAAGTGCTAAATAACTCTATACGCGCCTAGCCTTCCAGCTAACACACTCACAAGGCAGAAACACTCGCTGAGGAGATTGGACGACTGTGGCGAGTATCGGAAAGACAAACTGTTAGAGCCATGCCCCAGGCTTTGCTATGCTCCGCAGCTGCGCAAGGAACATCAGCCGCGCGCAGTTTGACGACCCGACGTGCCAGTTGTTGTCGACGTCGGGCACCACATGCCACCCGTTCTTCTCCAGCCTTTCCCGCACATCCGACGTGTAGTTGTACCATGCCCCAAAATGGTCATCCTGCTCCAGCAGAAATATCTCCATGTACTTCAGCCCGTACAGCACGACGCTGAGTCGAAGCTTCACCGCCATTGTCTTGACAGCACTTCTGACTCCTCGACCTCCCTCCTTGGCAAATAATGCCGCCACTGAATTCAACAAGCAGTCGCCGTTGCCCTCGCTCTCGAACGGAGTGCCCACGCCCCCACCATCTTCGGGTTCAATCCCGTTAAGGAGAGCCGCGGTGAAGTTGTCCTTAAACAGGCCCTTCGCCAGAAGCTCCTTTGCGGTCTGGACGGGAATCGAGGAGGATACATTGCGGCCATAAATGATCAAGTTTATCGTCAATGTTGAAAAGATTATGATAATGAAGCTGATAATGAATTAATTATGAAACGGAGAGCGTACATTTAAGTTCACCATGCCTACATTTACCCTGTCTACTCTCCGCATGAAACCAGCGACACATATGTATGGAGCACGAATGGCACAACAGAGCAAAAAAATATATACCTACCAGATGGAATTAACCATGCTGCTACGAGCAGATCATAGTTCAATCTTTCCGATACGAGGCTGCTACCCCATCTCCATACAACAACGTCGTGCAGATGTTTTGCAGTGCGGTTTTGCAGTCCGTTTGCGGTCCGTTTGCAGTCTGGTGAAAAAAACAAAAACCTTCGTCGATCATTGCGCCTGGAGCATCAATCATGGACCCGACCTTAAGCACACACCTGGGATGCATCTGGCAGCAGTTCGCCGTCAATGGGATCTTCCTGCTTGGACACCCACTCCATCACCTTCTGCAGCCTCTCATCTTCGACAGGTATGCCACTCGTGTCAGGAGAAGACGGGTGGAGGACAAAGTCTAGCATCCCACGGACCTTTGCCAGCGCCTGAAGCTGAGAGTTCGCCATGGATGTTGCCGGTGATATGCGCTAATAGATACATACGCTGGCGTATTGAATGGGCCCGGGTTCGGTGTTGATACGCTGGAGTGGTCGCCCCACAGAAAACGATCCCAGCGACCGCAGGTTCGCAGGTTTTCAACCATGCGGCCAAGCGGCGGGATTTTTGTACAGTCCCCCCCCTCCCCCTTGTGACGTGTGTCTAGCCTGCTGTGCTGCAGTGGTGCAGTGGTGCAGAGCTGCTGTGTGCGGTGTGCTGTGTACTGTGTGATGTACGCGGTGTGTGCATGAACAGCACGCTCTAACCATGGCGCTTGTGCTTCGATTAGAGTCTTGTACGGCGAGATACCGCTGGTGGGGTGTTTAGCCTTATCCACCCAACCGGTGGGGCATACACTATGCATTGCGTTGTTTACCCCACCAGCCGTGGCACCACCAAACCTTTAGAATTCGACCTCACCATGGATCCCACGATAGCCCTGCAAAGCAGCAATACATTCGTACATGTCTTGTGTTAATTGGAGTCTTATAGGGCTACATACGGCAGTGGGGAAGTCTGCCTGCAAGAGAATAGAAGGCAGTGTTCGCTACCCACTTCGGGTGTTTGGCGTCATGCGGCGGGATTTCTTGACCTGTTCGGCGCCCCAGGTGCTGCCCGCTGCTGTGCGCTGTGCGTGCATCGACCACACACTCCTACAGGTGGTTGTGTGTCGATTGGAGCCTTGTAGCGGGAGATCCAGCTGGTGGGGTCAATATCGTTATCGACCCCACCAGTGGGGTAGCGGCGGTATATGCCCCACCAACCGTGCTGCTCGGCGTAATACAGGTCTAACAACTGTGTTCACGCTTGAGGAAGACCTGAAGCAGCGGGTACCGGACGGGCATTGAGGGCACTCACCCCGTGACCGGTAAGTCGTAGGCCAGCGGGAGCGTGATCACTTGACCCCGTGTACGACGGACGTCAGGAAAGTCCTGGCGTGAGTATCTACTCTGTGTAGTGACAACGTCTCCGCTGACAAAAATTATATTGTTGCGCCGAGATAAGGTCACGCGGCAGGCAGGTACGCCACCAAACCGAGTCTATAGCCTGTATACTATACACTCGGGTGAGCGGTAAGCCCTACGGGCAGTTATGTGGCGGGGGTGGAGCGAGAGCGATTCCCAACCCGTGTAATCGAGAACTGCGGTAGGTGAAATTTTAGTCCTGATCCGGCTAAATTCACACGAAATCTCGGTGGAATTGGTGACGCTAATCCCGTCACAACCACGCGAGAACCCCACCGGTAGAAGAAGATCTCCAATCGGCGCAGGTCTACGTCCTGACAGAGTAGACAGCGCGGCTGCAGACCACCCTACATAAAGGAGCTAGGAGCTGGGCAACTAATTTCCTTCATCGAGAGCAGCAGGAGTCGCTGCATCTGAAGAGAAAGGAGGAGCTGCATCATCAGCAGCAGAAACAAATTCAGCCAAGACTAGAAATAAGTGTTATCATCAACCATCAAGGTCTCACCGAGTGGATTGCCGGCACACATACGCATCTCAGGAAGTAACCCATGAAGCCGAAGAACTCAGCAGTCACACTGCGCACTAGTCTGACACGGAAAGCTGCAGTTGGAATTCCCCCCCGCACCCTGAAGTTTAAGCTGATGGATTGGTCAGCGCTTCACAAAAGGGTTGCGCGGGAAAGAAGGGGCTGTACGACATTTCCCCGGACGCTGAAGAGAGCTGGTAACTTGTGCAGCACATCACAATAGGGTCGCGGTGGAAGACAAGAACTGTTCGAGGCAAGAAAGGAGCAGTTCGACGTCATAGGAATTTCCCCGAACCCTGAAGGCAAGCTGGTAACGTGGACAGCACTCCGACAAATAGGGTGTCGCTGGAAAATATCGAGAGAGCTGTTCGAAAAGAGTTTTCCCCGAACCCTGAAGGAAGCTGGTAACTTGGACAGCACTTCGACAAATAGGGTGTCGCTGGAATACGAACCGAGCTCGAACGACGACAAGTCCGCCACTCTGAAGACCGGAGGTCGCGCGGAAACAAAAATTGTGCCAGGTTTGGCCACCTGCATCAGCAATTCAAGTCGACATTACAACGAATAGTACAGTTCTGGAAAAGGAAGCCTCAACATCTGAGCAAGGAGCCTCAACATTTGAGCAAGGAATTCTTACCGAGGAATAATTCAAGGGAATTGGAAAAGGACAAACTACTGGATCGAGAGCCTCGGAATCAGCACCTGGCACCAGTACCAGTACCAACAAGGATCGACCATGGCCCACGACAGCAAACAACAGAGAAATCTTAGACTTCCGGCTGAACACTGACTTCCTGCTCGTTTTTGGTTCGGAACCGGACCGAAAAACGCCTTTTAACTCTGAAATCGGAATCAAAACGCGCGTTTTCAACCACGCCTAAAGACTTTGCGCTCGCAAAAGCAGCTCATCGGTGAAAGCTCCAAACGTCCACAGGTGAGGCCTTGCGCTCGTGTCGGCATGCGTTGGAAGTGTTTAGACACAGCAGCTTTCTTCTGGCAGCCCCCACGGGTCCACGCCAGAAGAAAGCGTGCTCCCTTGCATTTGAATGGTGATTCATCTTCAACAAAAAAAGACAGGAGAGCAGCAGCAGCATGTCTCTCCTCTCCGCAGCCGCGCCGCACGACAACACCACAATGTTACCGGCCACAGGTCAGACCCTGGGCCTGGTGCGCATGCTTCGTCAGTGTATATGCATAGCAAGGTGGCGTTTGACTGCCTGTAGGTGTCCCGGTCACTCATTTCATGGCATGGCGAGACATACATGTGTAGCCGCAGATTGTTTGCGTTGTGTTGGCTGGTACACGCCGTTCGATCGTTCATGTCGGACAATGCTGTAGAACCACACGCTGGCGTGGTTTCCTTGGTTACAGTCCCCCCTTGGTGGCTGTTACACACGGTTATGCATCTATTGCACAGACAGTTGCACTGACGAGGTTACTGCTGCATTTCCCCGCGCTGATGTGGTTATTCATCGTCTCACTGCTGTTGTCGCTGTGATGAATTGGTGTCGTCGCGGCGCGCCGCTGCCGGTGCCCTGCCACTACGTCTCATTGGCTGTACACGCCGTTGTACCCCTAAGCCATTATAATTACGTCATCCGATTGCCGTAATGGCGGCTAATTTACATATCACCTCACCTCACCCGCATCGCATGCGACCGCGTTGGACGTATCCCTCCCAACTAGGGAATATCTGGGCGCCCGTCACGAGCTGTCTTGTATCTCATGTAGCTTGTGCCTTATACATTGGCCACATATTGCCGTTTGGTGGTGCCTTTTTCCTTTGGGATTGCGTGTCCAACGTGCACACCACATAAATACATGCCGTTCGGTGGTGCCTTTTTCCCTTGGGGTTGCGCGTCCAACGCGCACACCACACAACCACATAATAGTAAGTAGTGACCGTCCGGGTTGTTTTATGTAAACACCACATGGTCACATGCCGAATTAGTTCCCTTGCCTCTCGCGTACTGACGTACCTCGTGGCGCACGCCCAACTAACACCAACAACCCATATGCACACCAACTCCGCCGTAGCTAGCAATCCCGTCTGTGAGTAGGTAGACTTACACTTGGATAAGCCCGGCGAGACGTTGTGTTAGTTGGTCCGTGCGCTGTCATGTTTTCTCGACGGTACGCCTGGATACACAGCATCGAATCGACGTTTGCTTCGTAACGTAATTTCACACGCGGCCATACAAATTGGGCCCCGAAAAGGAAATATATATATATGCTGTGTCCCTTTTTATGTGGACGGGAACCCGTGCTGTCAGTTTTCAGCGCACAGGTTTCCTCTTCAAAAAAAAAAAAAAAAAGGGAGGGGGGGGGGGTGATCTCGACAGTTCCTGTCGTTCAAGAAGTGCGAGTTTTGGGCCAGTCACGGCCTTTCAATGCTTCGATATCATCTGCGATTCGGACACGATGACGTTCCGGATTCTCTAGAAAAAAGCTGGACAAGCCACGTGCCATACTACGAACAGCTCTCGCCGATGGATGCTTGTCGAACGCCGCAACGCGTTGCGGGCAAGTGAATGACCATGACTGTGGTGATCCGACCGGCGTTACTTTGGACGCATGCGACGTTGCCGTCCTTCCCAGATGGTCAAAACCATCCAAAGTCGGGTCGATCTAGCATGTAACGCTAACAACGCATCTGCGGGAAAAGTTCCAAAAGCGGCTTTCTCTGACGGTTTCCTCGCACGAAAGGCCCTGACAGCGAGCAAGCCACCCTCATCGTCAAACTTGACGCATCATCGGACGCGTCTTCCCTAGGCTGGGGTGGCGTTTTGTCAACATCGGGGGAGCCCAGTACCGCGCTGGTGGTGTGATCCCAACTGATTGGCTGCACAAGCACATCAACAAGGAGATGTTTGCGTTGTACCAGTTGTCGCGACTCTTTCCGTGTGCGCTTTCCGACTGACTTGCAGCGGGCTCAAGGGTTCATCGACGTCGCGTTTGTTGGAGCTACAGATCGAGTACCCAGTGGCTGCAAATGCCGTCGCTGATGGTATCTCTCTGCCCTGGCGCGAAAGCATCGTTCGTCTAAACCCCGAGGGTTTTCCGTATTCTCTGGGAGAATGTGCGGCTGGTCGCCGTTGTTCTCATGGCTTCGGCGACCGAACAACGTTGTTGCTGAACGCAGGCCTCGGACCAAGACGCGTTCGAATGCCTCAGATTCTTGGGCACATAACGTAGAGGCACCAAGTGGGTGTACGACAGAGCCATGCTTTGGCGCATAGACTAGGTATGATACAATTTCGCGCATGCCTTCTAGTTTCGCAATGCGCTAACAGTACACAGCCGCGTCGATGCAGAAAGGGATCGTGTCCAAGTTGAAGATGGCGATCCAAAAGTAGTTGGGGCAAGACGGCAGCTGGGACCCTGTTACGCGGTCGGGCGACCCGTGTCGTAGTCCTCTCGTAGAACCCTACGTCATCTTTACGAGGAAGGAACAGAAGCTTTGTCAACCACCAGAGGC